TCTTTCCATCCTATTTTTTTCTGGATGATATCTTCTCACCTACAGCTTTAACTATTACACATTTGTTGATGATTCTTGAGACTTAGTTCCAATTCCAAATTTCTAACTACACACTATTCACCTGTATGTCCAATAGGATTGAAATTCATTCTCTGAAGTAGATATCCTCCTTTGAAGTTCATGCTACAAACCAAGAATAGAAGTTTCAGAAACATCTAACTTAATATCTTACTTTACCATTCTCCCTTGCCTTCACTATTTCCTCAATTCTTACATTTCCTCCAAGTTCAGTCAAGTTCACCATTACGTCTATTCCCTCCCTCTCTATTTTCACTGCCAATAACTAGTAGGTAAACCCAATAGAGAAACAGATAAATACTCCATTGGGACAAGTAACAGGATTAAAGACACATATCTCCACTGCCCTTACTTTGGAGAGCAAAAAAAATATCCAGAGAACTCTAGTCAACCTTTCCTGAAGTTGTAAAACTTGTTCTCGTGGTATTTGGTTCAGTAAAACCACACTTGTCATATGATACTAAGAAGGCATCATATTAATGTATAGGCATTCACTAATTCTAATGGTATATTTGTGGGCTAGATATATAAATAATATAGTTTATGATAGTAACAGTTGGCTACTGCAGACCACTTTTCAAAAAATCCATTTATAGCAGGAAAATCTAAAACATTCGAGATTTACTGCACTTGGAATGTCCTTAGAAATGATATAGTTCAAACCTCTGACCTTACAGATTCAAGAACCATGGCCAAAGAGATCAACTGACTTTCATAGGATCAAACAGCTAGTCACAGAGAGCCTAATAATCACTTACAATAAACCAGTGCCATTGGGTAAATATAATTTATCGTTAAAATGAACATTTTAACAATTATGGTATTTATAACAAAGCTAAATAAACTTTATTTTTCTCTGAATACACACACTCACACACACATATAATCCATTTTTTCTATAAAGTGAATTCTAAAAAATCTTGAGGAAGAGGTTTAGACATATTAAATATAAATCAAGGTAGCTACCACAATATATTTAATGCTATACAACCTGATATCTTAAATGGAAAAAAAAAGCCCATGAATATTCTTTGGCTTCAAACAAGTGATGGAGTAAATAGATTTTACTCAATTTAAAAGTCTTAGTCAACTGAAGCTAAAAATTATTTTTTTTCTAAACTCCAATGAAGAAAAATGTGGATTAAATGATCATATAGCCCCTTTTTCTTCAATGCATATTCTGAGGAAAGTGCCTAACAAGTTAACTGAAATACAGTATTTTTAAAACTGTGAACTATGTAAGAAATTTCAAGTTTAAAGTCAATCATCTCTCTTGATTTTATATCAAATTGACTATTTAAAATATTCCCATGGAAACATGAGAACATAAGATCTCCAACAGAGGAAAAGTTCTAAATTAATGTCTGTTATTTAAAGAGAGATGCGAAAGAAACTGACAACTAATATGTGATTCAAAGCATTCCTAGAGATGTTACCTTGATGAAGACAACATGAAGATTATCTGATATGACCACATATTTATATCAAGTATACAACCTTAGCTCAAGAGTCTAAGAGGGAATTGGCCAGCTTTGTTCTAAATGCCAGACTCCTTTCATCACAAGTCTTTAGGGAGATGGAATGGTTTGTCTACAGCACTATTTCTCAAAGTCTGATTCCCCAGATCAACAGCCATCAGCATCTCTTGGAAACCTGTTAGAAATGCAAATTCTCAGGTCCCACCTCAGCCCTTCTAAATCAGAAATGCTAAGGTTGGGACTCAGCAATTTGTGTTTTAACATGTCTTCCAGGGGCTTCTGATATAGGCTTTATTCAATTAAGGCATCTGTATTTTTCTAAATAACTATGTCAAGGCTTTACATCATCATCTTCACCATTACAGCCACATTGGAAACTCAGCTGTTAACATTTATTAAGCCTTTACTATATGCTAAGCACTTTGTAATCCTTATTTAATTCTCACAATAACTTTGTAAGAAAATATCATCCTTATTCCCATTTTATGGACTAAAGAAAATACTAACATGCCTAAGTTCAGAAAACTAAAAAGGGTTAGAGCCCAGATCGAAGCCAAGCTCTAGAGTGTACATTATTGCCATTATTGTATGACAGTGTCAACATGACATTGCCATTATCATACTTATTCCACCCAACAATCCTGTAAGGTAAGTAATGTAATACTCATGCTGCAGATGTATAAACAGACTTGGGTTAAGCAATTTTTCCAAGATCACATAGAGGCAGAAAAAGAATTTATGTCTAAGTTTGTTTGACTTGAAAATACATACACCTAACTGGTCTGCTATACCACCTCGAATAAAAGTGAAAGCTATGACCAACTCGGTGTCTACTATTATCAATTATCCCATTTAATCTCTCTACCAACTTTGCTGAATTCCTGAGTAACATTCTAGTCTTCAGGCAGAGTGTTAATTTAGTAGATTGGGTTAAACCAGTGAGAATCAAGCTGTGCTTTCTAGCTGAATGGAATCAGAGTGGCCAAAGGTCATACAATTCGAGTCAAAACAGAAATAGTAATGACCTCTGTAAGGGACTGTCATAAAAAAAAAAAAGGAGAGGAAAGAGAAATGAAAATACCATTTTCCCCCTATTTCTCTGGCTCTGTAAATTAA